CAGAGAAAGGTGAATTCACGCCAAACGGCTAGTTCGAAGCAGTCATCCCCCACTCCTCACTACCATACACACCTTGTTCGGACCCGCAGTGATTATTCAAAACGCTGTTAACACATGGGAGGCAAGGAAAGCGCCTTACTTGTTTCGCAGTTCGACACTAAAACTGCTGCCCAGTGCGCAGATGTCAAGCATTTTGCGCATAAAGAAAGTCACTGCAGAAGTGTGCAGGCAAATTCACCAGTCCCCTGATTTGCAAGGCAAATGCACAGCTTGCTGGATACTCAGAAAATGCCCTGCACGCCTCATCATCCCAGAGGCAAACCATTACCGCCTGTTAAAGAAGCACACTCTAAACTGCATGTTCTTGAACAAATGCCAGGCTGCTGCTGCTGCTGCTGGTTCAACAAAGAACGAGGCGAACCTGTACGACAACCACCAGGTAGGACGGTAGACTCCACGCCTCCGGCAGTTTAGCGGTAAGCAGCGGCAGCTCCATCCACACAGCATTGGTGCAGAGCCAGGAAGTGGAGCCGAACAGTACCACACACACATAGGTGGCCAGGCTGATCGTCATCACCGCTCCTGAAACACCAGAAAAAAATGTGCCTCATCGAGTGCTGCACTGAGCTCACCCTCGGCAATTCGTTTAGCGCTCAAGCGACTGGAAAGAGGGAGAGCACATCTTTCGAAGATGGCAGCAAGCGATGTATATCACCATGGAAGGGCTGCCGATAAAGCATTCTGTACGCCCGAGACTCACCGCATCGCTCCGCATAACGACCCTTCGCGCGCTTCCACAACATTCCAATAACAGCCCTTTCCTGAATTTATTAACTACTCCAAGCTTTCTCCAGAACAATTAAATTTTGTCTGATCACCGACAATCCCAGGACAATCCCTCACGGAACTCCCTCCAGTCCACCTGTCCCGCACTCGCGCTGCAACCACCAAAACACGGCCGGCTCAGCCGCGCAAAACACTCGCTCGGGGGAAAATTGCGGAGATCGGGGCAATTTACACTAACTCCACTCGGCCGGGTTGGGAGACGAGTTGCAATGGCTGAGGGGGGTACGGAAAGGCTGAATTTAATGATTACAGGATTAATGTGATTTGCGCGTTGGTAATATCGGATGTTAGTGCGACATAACATTCTGTCATTCCTTAACAGTGACATTGTTTTTAGTATGGCAACGCAAGGGGAACCCGTGTCCAAGTAGAGCAAGGCAATTTCGTAATTCATGTAATCTAGTGTTGATTCTTTCTTTCCTTTTCTTTTTTTGCATGTTTTTTTATCCTACCTCATCATGCGTCCACGCTATTTTTATTGAAACATGGTGGTTAGGGGACTGTACTGATGATCCCCGCCCTTAATCACGTCTTTCGCTGTCTGTGTTTACAGCTTAGGGATGAAACACAGGCAGGCTGCTTCCCACATACACTACTTTACATGTCCTCTTCACATGATACAGTGCTTATTATACGTTTTGTGCTGTGTAACAGCAGTACAAAACGCATATTGTTACGGGGTTGTCTGTGTGTGTGTTTGTGTGTATA